TTGTAGCTGTGTGAGGAGGATGATGTTTCTTGTTTGTACCTGTGTGAGGAAGGTGATGTTTCCTGTTTGTACCTGTGTGAGGAAGGTGATGTTTCCTGTTTGTATGTGTGAGGAAGGTGATGTTTCCTGTTTCCTACCTGTGTGAGGAAGATGATGTTTCCTGTTTGTAGCTGTGTGAGGAAGGTGATGTTTCCTGTTTGTACCTGTGTGAGGAAGGTGATGTTTCCTGTTTGTACCTGTGTGAGGAAGGTGATGTTTCCTGTTTGTATGTGTGAGGAAGGTGATGTTTCCTGTTTCCTACCTGTGTGAGGAAGATGATGTTTCCTGTTTGTAGCTGTGTGAGGAAGGTGATGTTTCCTGTTTGTACCTGTGTGAGGAAGGTGATGTTTCCTGTTTCCTACCTGTGTGAGGAAGGTGATGTTTCCTGTTTGTATGTGTGAGGAAGGTGATGTTTCCTGTTTGCATGTGTGAGGAAGGTGATGTTTCCTGTTTGTATGTGTGAGGAAGGTGATGTTTCCTGTTTGTATGTGTGAGGAAGGTGATGTTTCCTGTTTCCTACCTGTGTGAGGAAGGTGATGTTTCCTGTTTGTATGTGTGAGGAAGGTGATGTTTCCTGTTTGCATGTGTGAGGAAGGTGATGTTTCCTGTTTGTATGTGTGAGGAAGGTGATGTTTCCTGTTTGTATGTGTGAGGTAATCAGCCTCCACTCGCTGCGATAAGTCCATTAAGCGGGATCACCCTGACGCGGGGGCGGACACGTGAATCCCTGAGCTTCCGCTTTTCTTTTTTCATATGGTCAAGGCGCCTCTATCTACAAGGAGTTGTGTTGGTTGGTTAAGATCAGTCTTTATTGAACGCGGTGTATTTATTATGAGTTGACGATACGGCGAGAAGTTGGACATGTGGCGGGTTAAAGGTCGGACCGAGGAGCTGAAAACAAGTGTTTGAGTCAAACTACTCTAGAGGCAGACCTGATCCGGTGCTCAGGTTGATCAAATGCACCTCAGATGTGCTTCCGGGGGAATGTAACATGTTCTTGACCTCCACGGGGGGAACTTTAACGAAGAGGCTCAGGAAGCCTCCTGCAGGGCGGCCTGAGCTCTGACTCCTGTGAGATAACGCGCCCAAGCAGGGCGACTACAACCACAACAAGCTGGTTGTAGTCCCCTGATGGCGGTGGCCCAACGCAGACTTCCCTCACACCCACTGCTCCGTGTCAGCAGGTGCAGAGCGGCCTCCGGCCTGCGGTAAGCCGATCCTTCTCCTGCATTAAATAAACCCACCTGATTCCTCTGCTGACGTGCTGAGGCTGAACTCCGGCCTCCCTCTTGGCGCCGCCCGGCCGTTTCCGCAGGTCACTTGGATTTTGCCATCTGGCCGCTCGAGGCTCCGTGGAGCGCCGCCAACCTGAGGGGCAAAAGCAACGTCGCCCCCTGGGGGTCGCTGGAGGGAATGCAGCTTTAAAACGCGTCGGGCTTCACAACCTGCAGGTTAGCGGTTTGTTCCACAACAAGCCGCTCGAGCGGTTTCAATCTGACCTTTGACCCCTTACCCTTGTTCGGATTCCGTTCCGGGAAAGGGAATCCTTTAATCGGAGGGAGAGGAGGATTAAGACGGAGGAGTAGAAGGAGATGGAGCGGGAACCAGTCAAGGTGGTGGTGTTAGGCGGCGTAAGGAGGATTTGGCAGCGATGGCACAGAGAGTCGAACGGAATGGAAAATTCATTGTGACCAGAACGGGCCAGATAAGTATTATCCACGACCTTTGACCCGACCTGATCGAATCTATTCCCGGAATAGGAATGTTTAATCTTCGCACCCAAATGGACCCCCTGGCTTCCAACGTGGGTGCTAGATCTTCCCCGTTGGTGAGGGCGGACAGAAGGACACTCCCATCTCCTCCAGACGGTGCGGAGGAAGATTCCCAAGTTGACAGCTGTGTTTATTCGCTCATTAAACTTGCATTCGTCACGTACTGATGACCAACGAACTGTGGAGGAACCCGTAACAAAGGGTCTTAAAAACAACCCGAGAGACGAAATCTGCCTCGCCAGCAAACCGAGTTTAGTAAAAGCCGCGAAGAAGAAACCGTCGGCGGTCGTCCGGTTCAATCCGTTTTTCGCGGCTTTTAACAAACGAGGGAAACTCGGGTTGAAGTCTGGTGAAACAATGCCGGACGGAATGTCGGATAAGATGTGATGACTTCAGCTGGAACGCCACACGGAAACAAGAGCGTTTCAAGCTTATTCTGAGATTGTGACCTTTTTTCTTTCTTAACACATTTTCTTTCATATTTAAATGTAATACTACACAAACATTTGCCTTAATGTAGTGACGAACTGGTGAAGTTTCATGTCGATATCTTTAATTCTTTGACCCTCCCACCTGCAGCGTCTTCAACATCTCGGGCGTGTGACCAAACATCACCTCTTCACTCCTCTCTAGATTCTGGAGCTTTGTTCGTCATTCAGAGACTCATTCATGCTGCATTTATTTTTTTAAATTTGAAGAAAATTCATTTTTCTTTGGGCTCGCTGCACTATGTTCAGCTTTATGATGAGATTCAAAGAGATATTCAAAATTTTTTTTTTTTTTTTATCCCAATAACATGAAGCATCTCTCCTCCACCAACAACGTTATATTACTCAATGACATTTTTTCTGAATAGGAAGTTATTATTTGTTTATTCTGCTAGATTTCAAACTAAGAAGATTAAAATAATGTAAAATAATAAATGCTCAAATGAATAACTCCTTACAAGAAATAATGATAGTGATAAAGTCCTCTTCCTTTGTTTTGATGAAAATGACGTTTTCTAGTTAAACATTTTCACATTATCGTCATAGTAACGGTGTTTTTATCAATCAAACAAAATGCTGCAACAATTCCCCATCTGTTCTGTCTGATCTGAAGTCTGTTCTTTTCTGGAGACTGTAACAGATCTAATGACTAGTTTTAGGGATTGACCTGTCTGTTACAGTTACTGCAGATGATCAGATTACAATAATCCCACGGGAGTCATCTATTACCGTGCAGCCCTGCATCTGTCCCGTGTTTACGGGTCAATTGGATTATCTGAGTCGTGTGAAGGAGAAACTTCCTTTTTGGTGGAGAGAAGATCTGCAGCCCGGTGAGTTCCTCTCAGACTGTAAACATCACGTGTTCCCTGTCGAGGAGCTTGTGTTGTTGTAGTTCTTGTTATTTACCAGCAGAGGTCAGTACACAGTATAATTCCACTAATTCTCTGATAAAATCACAACACCACGAGGAACCAAGAAGATAAAAATAGTAATAATCTATGCAGAGGAATCAGAAATAGGTAACGGTAATAACTACAATATGATGGTATAGTGTAAATAAAATATTTGGGGAACAAAATGCACTTTGGACACACAATAACTTTATTTGCCCGATCTAAATAATTATATTTATTTCCTTTATCGTTTTAAATAAATTGTTTTAAATTGCTCTAATGCCTTTTTTACACCTCACATTGTGCAAATCTTAATAAAATTAACAATAGATCAATAATAAGACTAAGATTTAAATAAAAAGAACTCCTGATTTTTCTGAGCGAAGTACAAAATATAATATGTAATATATTCATTCATGAACAGATGCCTATTATGAACAAAATATATATATATGCAATGAGAAAAAATAGAATTGAAACACTGCATACACTAATAACATTAAGGTATATATATATATATATATATATATATATATATAACACATTTAATAAAACATATATACTAGACTTACATATACTTCACAGTATGCTTTTGCGCTCTATGGAGATCCTTCTATTTTTATTGGTATTATACGGTTTTTATTTTTTAAATCATTAAAATGCATAAATGTATCATATGAATAAATAAATGTAACAAAAACAGACCTATAGTGTATAAAAATGCATTTATTGAAATCCAGAGACCACGTATGAACACTAAGCAATACGAATAATGATAAAATAACAACATCACGTAACAGATGTGACTGAAATGCTTTCGCTGCAGCTCGCTTTAACGCCGCCGCCCGGGGCTTTTAAACTGAAATGGCGGACGGCGCTTCCTGTCCCCTCGGCTCAGAGGTGACCCTTGTAGGAGCGGATCTTGCGGCTGAGGTTGCGCGCCAGCCGGTCCACGGCGCTGCTGATGTGCCCGAGCTCCCTCTTGGAGGTCAGGCCCTCAATGTTTCCGCTGTACCACAGCACCCAGCCCGCCAGCGACATCACCACGAACAGGGCCCCTGCGGACGGGCCGGAGGTTAGACAGCCGCTCGGGCCCCTGAGAAGTGGCCCCATTCAGAAAAAAAACATTTGAATGCTGAGAATAAAAACAATAAAACGTGTCGTTTTGCTTATTTCTTTCCGTTTCAGTTCATGTGAATGGCGTCAGCTGACAGGAAGTGGGCGCCGACCCGATCCGTTCACTGTTCTTTGGCGTAATGGCTTCCTTTGATTTGAACCTGATCCTCTTTCCCCTCCACCAGTCTGCAACTCATCCGATGTTTCATACCAGTATAGACCAGCAAGTCGCCAAAGTCCCGCCCTTGGATCTCCAGGGGGGCGAAGACTCCCACCAGCAGAGCGGTTCCTCCCAGTAAATCCATCAGCACGGCAAAGGCCAGGGCCAGTTTACAGTGGGAGAGGCCGTCACAGAACGCCATAATGCAGCTGGGGGAGAGAGGCAGTGATTACCCGTTTCATCAGGCAGACGTGAGATCAGGAAAACTTTCAAAGGGGCCATTTTTTTTAAATTAAATCTGGCTTTTAGAGCTGCATGCAAGTTTTGGCGCCCATCATATTTAAATATGTACATTGAACGATTCTACATAATAGTACAACGGTAATAATGATCTAATATCAAGATATTATAGTAAAACAGTCACGCGGCACATTCTTCAGATTTTTACTTGAATTGAGATTTTAAATGTTGTACAAGTACCTTTACTTAAGTAATTTATCTGAAAATGTCATCTTTTTGTAAAGGAATCAATAGCTCGTGTTACACGTTTGATTCCAGTGTAAGATGCTTTCCAGTTGTCCCGCTGTGACGTCATCGCTGAATTTTTCCACACAACGAAAGTTGATTAAACTAATCTAGAAAAACATGGATAGTGTAGAAGTTGTCCGTCATATTGCGTCATGGACTCGATCTCAGCAGGTAGCCTCCTCAGGTGAGTGAGTCCTTTGGCTTCTTATCGAACACAACACTGCAGACACACTTCATTGTGTTTATTTATATTCCCTTCTTTGACTCACGTGCTTTTTTTTTCGTCCGTCCAGCTGCACAGAACCTCAATCTTCCGGCTTTCGCGGCTCTCCTGCTTTCGCTTCCGCGTCGCTCACCTTTTCCGCCTTCTCTGAAAGCTGGGCTCCGCCTCCTCAGGTACATCCGGTGCGAGCCCGCCGCTTTCCGACCCTCCAATCGCGGAAAGGCGGCTCGCGCACACTTCCGTCGGAGCGTTTTAAACCCGAAGCTTTAAGAGGCGCGCGAACGCCGTCGTTGTGCGCATGCGCGCCGCCCAGCCCCGTGCACCTGTTGGAGCCACTTATAATCAGGTAATTGCAGCTGCGCGTCGTTGCGGGCTGTATTACAGAAGTATAACTGCGCGCGGTGCTGCTGGAGGCGGATAATAACTACAGTTATTAACTAGTCCGACATCTCACCTGAACACGGAACCGTCCGCCATGGAGCCTCCGACCGGCAGAGACGAAGCCCAGCGGACAGGTAACGGCGCGCGGGGAGCGGCGCGTCCGTCCGCCGACGCGACGGATCCCGTTTAAAGGACTTTAAAATAAAACGTCCGTTCTGGGACTTTAATGTCATCTTCTCGACAGAGATTTATAGATTCAAATGTTTTGTGTTGTATTTCTCTCAACTAAACGATCGCTGCCTCAGTAGATTATCATTATTATGTCGAGCTGATATAGTGATATATTGCACGTTTTAATGAGCTAATGGGTCTCATTGAGTTTTATACTCGTTAGACGCCTTTTTCGATGTTATGACCATTTTACTGGCGTTCTGTTTTATTTATTACCATATAAATGACAAAGTGTGTGTGCAACATTATGTTTTTTCTCCTTTTAAAAAACATTTTTCTTTATTTGTTTATTTGCACTCATTGTTTCCTTTTCCACGGTAATTGATATACAACACTTTATTTAAAGATCTTTGTTTATGGATTAACTATGGATTCATTCTTTTAAAAAATTAGTAATTTCCATTCTGAGAGCCACTTTTTCCCTCGTCGATGTCAGAGCACTACTTGCCCCAGCCGTCTTCCTCCTCGCCATCGGGTGGAGGAAGGGAAGAAGAAGGAGGTGGAGGAGGTCTGTACCTGGATGCCTATGAGGTGTCTTTCCCTCTGGAGGAAAGCATGGAGAGGCCTCCTGCGTATCACCTGAACCAGGGTCAGCAGATGGACGGTGCGCCATACGTCTTTCTCTTTATACATGTGACAAAATGATGACGCAGTGAAAAAAGTGCAAGCAATATATATATATATATTTATATATATATTATTACCTAATGCAGTTGATGAGTTTCTTTAACTTTCGGCTCCTGTGCCTCATTTGGGGAAGTTGAGTGAAGGACCACCGTCTTGAGCTTTCGGGAGTAAACGTTCCCTTATGCTTCTCCCCCTGCAGAGCCCGTGGTGCAGGAGCCCCCTCACTCTCCGTACAGCCCGTTCATCCTGGTCTCCAACCTGCGAGCTCACCTGTACGTCACTCTGGAGAAGAACGCCTGGCTGCAGAAGCGCATCGAGGAGCTGGAGGAGGAACGCAACTTCCTGCGCTGTCAGCTGGACCGGTTCATCGTCAGTTTGAGGGGTCCAGAGGGTGAGGAGCCGGCCGACCCCTCCCTCGCTTTTATTTTGTTTACCACACGAGAGTCACCGATGACTGAAGCCATGAAACATGCAGCACATAGTCCAGTTGGAAACAAGTCAGAACTGCATGTTTTAGAGCTGCATTCTCTGTAGTGACCAGCAGGGGCGACTCTTCTGCTCCATAGACGTCTATGAGGAAATGACTCTACTTCTCTGTAGTGACCAGCAGGGGGCGACTCCTCTGCTCCCATAAACGTCTATGAGGAATGACTCTACCTTCTCTGTAGTGACCAGCAGGGGGCGACTCCCTCTGCTCCCATAGACGTCTATGAGGAAATGACTCTACTTCTGTCTTGATTTATTCCCTCAGTAAACCATCTAGTTTCAGGTCTTCTTCAATGCAGCCTGATGTTCATTTTGTGAATTATGGTCCATTTACAGTCAAACAGACCATGAGGCAGGGGAGGCTTGAGGGCGGGGCTTACTCTGATTGACAGGTTGCTACCGCGGCGTGTCTTCACTTGATGAAAGCTAAATGTATGCAGACGTTTCCCCATCACGTGGTCTTCTTTCTTTCTTCTTTTCCTTTTTTTCTCCCAATAACAGAGTGGTGTGGGGACGCCCAGCGCGGTGTGAAGGTCCAGCCTGCCAGCTCCCCCTCCCCTCCCTCCCCCATGACCACCAGGTCCGGGATGACCCTGAAGCGGCTGCAGGGTTCAGGCCCCCGGACCCGTCGCAGCACCGCCGTCCCCGGTGAGCAGATTGTCTCATCGTGTCAACAAAAAGAATGTCCACGTTTCAAGTATCACGCCGCAAACTGTTCCTGCGATGCGTCATCGCCGCCTCGTCATTTCACGTCCGCAGTGAAGCAGGAGTTTCACCTGGAGGAGGACAAGTACTACACCGAGGACGAGTACGTGGAGGAGGAAGAGGAGGACGACGAGGACGAGGACGAGGACTCCTCGGCGGAGAAGGGGTCGAAGAAGAAGGGCCGAGGGCGAGGCAACGCGGAACCGAGGATGAAGATGAGAAGGATCTTCAGGATCACCCACGGCAGGGAGAGACAGAGAGGTGGGAGCTTTACTCAATCACGCATACCATGTAGCACACAGTACTATATAACAGCACTACATCACTTCATTCCACTAAACTTCCAGATGGCTACGACACTGTCCCTTTAAGAAACAAAAACCAACAACATGGTTCTTATCTTACGCCTCCATTCAGTCTCCCCTTCTCCCCACCTCGTCCTCCACAGTTAAAGACCCCGAGGGGGTCATGATCCGCTACAAGAAGATCCTGGCCACCTACCAGCGGGTGAGGAGCATGTCCCGGGCCTTCCAGATCCACGGCGTGGACCGGAACACCATGGCCTCCACCTCCCCCATCGCGGAGCTGCTGCTGATGGCTCCCGAGAAGGTCTGACCTTGTCCTGTTGCCATGGCAGCGGCGCTGAGCCCCTTCAAAGTCCTGGCCCCGATGCAGAGCCTGAAAGGGTTCCGTATGGACGGTGTCTAACAACCACTCTGACCTGCAGGTGGCCGAGGTCGGGGAGTTTGAGGCATCGAAGGAGAAGCTGTTGGATTACGCCCGGCGGTGCTACAAGACCATGGACGACCAGACGCACGCCAAGGTCCAGACCATGAAGAAGACCCACAAGCTGCTGCCCATCTCTTACAGGTTCAGGAACTGACCGTCACGCGGCAGGTTCGTCTTTATTTCGAAACCGCTTCCACTTTCGTTTTGTATCGCCTTTAAAATAAGGAGAAGAAATGAGAAGATCAGATACCAAAAGTAACAGGAGTGATTTGCAAATAAGCTGCTTGATTTATATTTATTGTTTTTCCTTTTTATTTATGGTTTCGGCTTTTTTTTTATGTCTCTGCTGTAGTGAAGATATTTATTTGAGGGCACGGCTACTTTTTTTACTCTTTTCTCAGGAATAATCTGAAGTTATATTTCATCTCGAAGACACAGTATGTCGTTGGAAACAAGTTTAATTTCAAAGGCTTCTGAAATCAGAGCAGCAAACGTGTCAGTGTGAGCGAGTATTTACAGATTGTTTATGGAGACCTTCCCTTTTTTTGTTCTGTACCGAAAAGAGATATGCAAATGTATTTGTCTTTTATTCATTTTCGACACAGTATTTTTGCACTGAATTTGTTATTATTTTGTCAAATATTTGCGTTTGTTTGTGCCTTCGTCAGATGTTGTGATCTTGTGAACCGTACGCCGTTAAAAGGTTTCAAGTCTCATCGTAAAAGAAAATAAATCACTTTAAATGTAAGATTGGTTGTTGTCGGGGTTTTGTTTTACAATTGGGACACGATTTATGAATGATGTATATGAAGGTTATGAATTCAGAGTCCATTCAGACCAGTTTATGAGTACTAATACCACCGCTATACTCTATTTTTTACTTTACTTTTACTTACCAACTGCTCAAAAAGTTTACTGCAGCAAATCATTTAATTCTACAGTAATTCACAAATTGATTCATTTTAAAGTATCGGAACACAGATTTCCCTTTTTGAATATCTATGAAATGAGACAAAGGCTGCGGCGCCCACCAGCGGCCGGAAGGAGCAATGCAGATGTTATGATTTATTGCATTGTGGTGCCATGTACAAAAAAGTTATAAACAAAAGTAAAAGTGACCATTAAAAGCAGTTAAGCTGCAAAGAAAATAGTGCTCATGGACCAGAAAACTCGATCGAAACATCTATCAAACAGTTTGACGTGAGTCATCTATTGTATCCTTTATCTGTTGCTCTAAAATTTAAATAGAAACACTTGTACACTTTATACAACTTAAAATATATCTGCCAGTAAGTCAAATATACAAAATACTTATATTATACGTGTAATATGAAAATGTAACTAACATCATAAATTATGAAATATTGTTGTTGTTTTTTGTGCGTGGAAGTGCAAACTCATTTATTATGCCTTGTTTATTTTTTTGGGGACGGTAAAAGGACATAAAACTTAACGTTGGGTCTGTCTCTGAATTAACCTTTAAACAGATACTGAAAACGCAACATAAATTACACAATGACACAATAAAATAACCTGGAAATGTAAGTTGGTTGTTCATGACTGAAAGACTCTTCTTTGATAGCAATTTTAATTCCTTAATGGGTAAGGACTCGTACACTGAACAACTAAAGGAGTTATATTGCATTTGCCCTGTCTGCCTGAGATCAACCAGGACACAAGAAATATATGGGAAATGAGTAATATAAGTAAATACAGACCCCTAGGACCCCAACTGTCACCATAATGTTTTACAAAATTAATCTGGATGAAAAGGAATATTCACAGTTGAAATAATGTAAATTGTAACATTTCGTTAGCATTGAGGAATACATACAGAAGACCATTACATTATGTTCATGTTTATACACACTTGACCTTTGCAATGCAATGTATTAAGTGATAATGGTTTTAAAGCCTCACTGCAGCGTGGAGGGCACGAAGCCCCCCAAAGTGTGATCAATAACTGGATGTTTCCATCAGTCGACATGCAGCCGTAGCTCGCAGGTCAACTACGATGTGAGTTTCATGAATCATAATGAGGGTCAGACAACAATGATTTGAAAACATAACTGGTGAAAAACAATGATATTAATACATTTGCTTTGCGTAGCGCTTTAAAAGATCTCCGGTTTTAACACGTGGCTTACTGCGTTAAAATGTTGTTTTTTACGTGTAGGGGTGGTGCCAAATTGCAAACCGGCTTAATTCCTTTTGAACTTATTGTGGATTTCACTTTTGTTTTGAAAAGAAACATTAACATTAATGACAACAAGATAAACAAGCTTCATGGGATTTTACGGAATGAACTTGACATGTTCACACCTAACTAGAATACACAATTCCCCGGTAAAATACAAACATTTGTCATAGTCGGTTGGTTCGTTTGTGATTGTAAATAAAGTTGAGGGGAAAAAAATCCAGAAGGGGGCGCGGCACAATTGTGTTTAACCTTTCACCTTTACAAACAGTCCAATCAGAGCGGGAGTCATCCGGGAAGTAGTAAAATCTGCCTGTCATGACCGACAGCAGACCTTAACGAATGAGAGCCCAGGATTGGCCGCAGTAGGCCAATCACAGACACGCTGGGCGGGACTCGTGTCCAACAGGGCATCAGAGGAGGAGGTGTTCCTGGCAGCCATCTTGGATGTGCGGAGTGATTGTTTAGCGAGAAGAATTGACATTATATTTTTAGAAAAATAGCCTTTGTACTGAATCGTTGAAGCTTTGCCGCAGTGTGGCGACCGAGGGGAGACATCGCAGCTCGGAAAAATCCAGGTAAATACACCGCAGACTCAAAGGTGATGCATTTATGTGCCTCCCCCCCTCCCTCTCCCCATTCTGCCTCTCTCCCCTTTCCAAATTGTGTCTCCCACATCAGATAGCGTTGCCGGTGAGAAGCTGCAGCCCCCCACACTGACAACACATCAACGTGTGTTTTTCCGTTAAAAAACGGGGGGGAATGCTCAACTTCCTCCGCAGGTCCGCGGCATGCAAACTTGAGTTTGTTTTAAAGTGTGTGCCCGCGAATGTTGCCCCAATGACACTGATGATGCGCGCATTGTTTATAAACATCCCGGGCTAACAAATGTTTGCCCCGGCTAGTTCGTTAGCTTCAGCTAGCACCATTGCCAGCGTAGTTACTAGATTACGCAATAAAATGGCCAAACTGTGAAAGTATCTTTAGTTGAACAGTGTGAACGCGTGTTAGCGGAGGGGTAAGGTGTGTGTGTGTGTGTGTGGGGGGGGGGGGGGGGGTCCAGATGTTTGCACCTGTTTGGGGGAGTAATGCTAAAGCTAATCCAGACATCAGTCTGTTAAAAGTCGTCCTGACGGGCTGCTGTTACAGAACCAGATCGTGCACACGAGCTCACACTTTAAGTTACACAAATACGACTCAGTTTACGATGTGATTCTTTGTTTTTCAAAAGATCGTTATATAGTTAATCTGACGCAACATCACCAGGCCACACAGACACAACAATAACAACAACACGTATAGGTTTCATTCCGTTGTTGTATATTGCAATGTTATCGATCACGTCGGTGGGGGCATCACACTTTTCACACACAGGTGGGTTTTGTTCAAACAACGACTTCTATACAAAAGTACACATGTTGGGGCGTCGCATAGCTGTATTTGGAAAGCTGACAGACAAATGAAGTGGAACAGAGGTTATAATACACTTAGTAGCACCTTTTGACACAGTGAGTTCAGAGTGAAGGAACCAGAGAATAAATACAAACCTCTAAAGAACTGGAAATATATATATATACACAGACACACACATATATACATGTATATATATTATGTGGTATATATGTAAAGTGTAGTAGGAAACAATCTGTGCTCCATTTTTTTATTTTAGTATTATTTGAAATTAACTTAAGACATAAGAAAAAATACACCGTAAATGTTCTTTTATCGCGGTTATTTTCTCTTAGGCACATGCAGATTGGACACCAGACTTTCAAGGTTTATTTTGAAGATATATTACATCTTAGGTTTCAATTATGGAGGCGTCGATGCCTCCCGCTTGAAGTGCTTTCAAAGTATTTAGGCAAGCCACTTCTCCAAAAGTGATCTATCGAAGCTAACCGACCTGTCGTATACCTGTAGCGCTCCTCAGCTGGGGCTATTAAGAAGTAATCATTCATAAATAATGGTATGAAATCAGCGGTGGAATATGTAACGAGGTCGTGTGAGACTTAAACACCTCTGAAGTGACTCCTTGCATTTCATTGGACAAGAAAAAAGATATCCAAGGGAGGATGTTTCTTTTAGTTACAGCAAACTCTCGTGAGGTCGTTCTGGAGGTTAAAGGTCAAGCTCCCCTGCAGCGCTGCCGCTCCATCACGGGGATTCAGTGTTTTGCCCAAAGGCGCTTCGGCAGGGCAGCTATGGTCCCTTCATCTCTCCGTCTCTCCTCGTCAGCCCGTTTTCTTCGCTGCATGTCGTTCTTAAAAAACAATGAATTACTAATGAATGAAAACTCAAACACGCTTCTGTCTGTTTGTTCTGCAGTGAAAGAAGGCATGAAGACATCATCCTAGTCATCAGTCATGGCCGATAAAAGGAAACTTCAAGGTGAGATCTTTTTGTGTGTGCGTGTGTGTGTGTGTGTGCGCGTGTGTGTGTGTGTCGTCAACAGTGTCTCCCATCAAAACATCTGAAATAATGCAAAGCAGGAATTGTTGCGGTCCGATCCGGTTGGACACGAGTGGCAGAAGTAATACAGGAATCAAGCAGGTTAAAACCGCAGATTAAACCCATCGCTGCGGCTTCAGGGCATCACGCTTTGTTTCCTCCTCCGCGGGGAACAAAAGAACCTCCCCGCCTGCCGCTGCCCGGTCCAAAGACAAGTCGTGCCTCTCGTCCTGCCCGCTGAAGCCCAAACACGAGGGATTCACAGAGATCTTTAGTCACTTCTTACTTTATCAAATGAAGACTGATGCAGCAGCTGTTGTTTCAAAGTATTTCTGCCTGATTTTATTTTATCAATAGAGGCATCAATGAAAACATTCAGCATTCTAAAAGTGAGTTATACCTTATGTTAGTTCTGAAACAACTATTTGATTTAGCCTTCTTTCAACAAAAAAAGGATAATTTAATCAGAAGGAGAAAGAAAAAGCTGCAGAATGGTTTTAAACAACGTATTGATTGAGGTGAACTTGTTTAGCACGACGTCCGTTACCATTTTGTTTCACTGTCTACCAGAACCAATCCTGGGTTGAAGGTGAAGCATAAATCAAATGTAATAAACGTTTCTCACTGCGACGACTTCAACGTTGTTTTGTTGCTCGTCCTTCTCCGACTGTTTAAAAAAACATTTGACTTGACTTCCGCCAACGATGGGGCCTCGGTTGGTTCTGCCACCACGCGCCTCCTCTCCAAACCGGCAGCTGCAGCAGCACATGCCAGCAACTGTCGTCCGGCTCGGACCGCAAATAAACCGCCGAGGAAACACGCAAACCACCAGCGGGAGCGTCAGCTTCGGACAGCCATCAGGGAAATAGCAGTGAATAACTTTTACAAACCGCCTTCCTGAGCAGAGGGATTCTCCCTCCACGTGACCTCCTGTGACCTCGCTCGCTCTCGTGTTTACAAACTAAGCAAGAAGAAGAGGTTCAGTCCGACTGCACCCAGCCGCCGCTTCAATCTGCTCGCGCGGCGTCTTCCTCCTTCTGACATTAATAATCCGAGCGTATTAATACGACGGCAGAATTAGGAGGCGACATTTGCCTCTTTGA